GATATTCAGTTAATAAATATATTTATGATTAGAAAAAAAATATCATATAGTATTTTATTGCAGTTTTATTTTTATAAACTATGGTACAAGAAAATAAAAATACGCCCATTAATGACAGTGTCTACTACCCAATTAACTGTAACTAGCTATTATCATGTGTAAATTAATTGGCTTTAATTGTAATTTTATTAATTGTAATTTTATTAATTAGTTAATTATGTATATTACATAGGATACCTTACTTTGCTAAATTATATTAGAGAGCTAAATAGAAGTTAGTCATTTCGGTAAAGCCACTTTAGGCTTTAAATATTATGAACTAGTATCACTTGTGTCACACATTGTAACCAATTTTCAATAAATAGGAGCAGAGAATGTAATGATAAACAGTTATTTTTAGTGCACATAAAATAAAAAACAAAAAATTTACTTGCTTATGTACCCACTAGATCAGCACAAAAAATAATATAAATATATATAAAGACTACTAGACAACTACGATTTCCAGGAGGTACATTTATTTGAATACGAATTATCGAAAATATCATCAAATTAGAGAAAAACGAAATTAGAGCTGTCAGTCATCAAGTGCTTCTGTTTAAAAAAAATGTTTACCAAAGACATATTCAGCGACTTGGTGGAAACACTGGGGGACTCAGCTCCTCCATATTCCATAGTTGCACGCTGGTCCAAGGAGTTTAAGCTGGGCAGAACATCCACGAAACATGAACATCGCAAAGGACGTTAACGTGAAAAAAGTGGAGGTTGTTCATCAGGAATATAGTGGTCACAGGGATTTCATAAGGCACTGTTCAAAGAATCTTTGCGAACGAATTTCATATGAAAAAGGTTTCTGCGCGTTGGGTACCGAGAATGTTAACCGAAGAGCAAAAGAAAAAAACTAGTCGACATTTCGAGGGTGAATCTCGATAGGTTCCAAGCAGATCAGGAAACGTGAGGCTTCGTTCAGAAAACATCGTAACCGATCATGCTCGAGTAAAGAATCCTGCAAGGGATGCTGCTACAGAGTATGAGTGCTGGAATATTTTTGTGACTCCAGACATGTTTCCCGAAATCTTGATTCACACTAATTAGAAAATTGTTCAAATACAGCGCGATAATACGAATGGTAGAGCTCCTTCTTACATGCAAGAAACCACTATTTTTGAGTGGAAAGCATTTATTGGCTTACTGTACTTAGCTGGCGTCACCGAATCTAATCGACAAGTTTGAAAGATCTTTGGCGAACTGATGGAACTGGTGTTGATATATTATTTCGTACCACCATGTCACTGCAGAGATTCCAGTTTCTTTCTGTGCGTTTTGAAGACAAATCGACGAGAGAGGAGCGTAAAGAAACTGATAATATGGCAGCCTTCAGAAACATCTTTGACCAGTTTGTTCAATGCTGATAGAATGCGTATTCTCCAAGTGAGTTTCTGACTATTGACGGGATGATACTGGCATTTAGAGGTCTATGCCTGTCCCGCGTCTACATTCCAAACAAGTCAGCTAAGTACGGGATAAAAATTTTAGCTCTGGTCAATGCGAAAAGCTTCTATGTTTTAAAATTGAAAGTGTACGCAGGCATACAATCGCCGGGACCATACGCAGTCAGTAATAAACCCTTTGAAGTATTTGAGAGACTCATTCAACCAGTTTCACGATCACACCGCAACAATTTGATAACTGGTTCACTGCAAATGAGCTAATGCTGCATCTACTAAGTGAGCATCGCCTTACGTCGTTTGGAACTGTACGGAAGAATAAGAGACAGATTTCTGTATCCTTCATTAGAACTGACAGACAACTAAACAGTTCTTTCACTCTTTGAGTTTCAAACAGATATCACACTCATTTCCTATGCGCCAAAGAAGAACAAGGTGGTTGTTGTTATGTCCACCATGCACCATGATAATTCAATAGATGAATCTACAGGCGAGAAACAAAAACCTGAAATGATAACATTTTATAACTCGAGCACAGCTGGCGTTGCATTGACGTGGTTGATAAATTGAGTACCAGTTATAATGTTAGTCGCAACAGTAAACGGTGGCCTATGACTTTATTATGTATATGGTGTCTTGAGCATGGTAGCTATCAATACTTGCATTATATACGAAGCAAGCAAAAACGTCACAATCAGAGAACAGAATTCATTCATAATTTGGGCTCATCAATAATTTACATATATAAGTAAATCGAAACAAAAATATTTCAAGCTACATCCGCCAGTAAATCGTAAAACAGGTCGGTGAGCTCTCGGCTAGACACGTGAATGTATCCAGACGATATGTCAGATGTCAGAATTGTCCATACAAGAATAAAAAAACCAAATATTCCCGCAATACACAAGCATATATGTATGGAGCACGCAAAATTATTTGCGAAACTTGTGCTGATCTCGAGAGTAGTGATTAATTTTTAAAATTCTTTTTTAAATAAAGGGGTGTGTAAAAAGGAAGCCAAGTGTGTGGGAATTGTTTTTTTTTAGTAATTAACAATATGTTTTTTACGAAGGGGACCTCACTATCTTTTAATCTTCAAGTTCCGTGGATTCTGCTTTTTTTATACTCCAAAGAATAACTTTATTTTATTGTTCTTGTTTTTTTTTATTTTTTTTTATTTCTTTGTTAAAATTAATAAATTTTTTTGTTAAGGTCCGTTTTAACTGACTTTGTTTCTTTAATTAAATATAATAATTAAGGTGTCTTTTTTTTATTATACATAGTAAAATCAAAAAGCTAAAAAAATGATAAGAGCTTAAAAATATGGTACACTAAATGATGGCTATGTTCCACTCTGTCACATTCTTTTTTTTTAACCTCATGCTCGCCGCGTTAATGGGCATTTCCACCAAAATTGATATCTTACAATTTGTAAACACCGCTCATTACTTTTTTTTTAAATATTTGAACAGATAATTCATATCGTACTATTTTATGTGTTTTATTACAATTATTGTAATATTAAATTCTTGTACTTGTTTTTATTAACTACTTTATTTTTACTAAGTACTCTCATAACATTTAGGAAAACAAATCCCTATAAAGTTATACATATGTTGCTTTTTATTTATTTACTTGAGATCAATTTTTTTCGTAACTAAGCAGCCTGGGCGGGGTTAGTCTACTCCTAACTTTTTAATATTATCAGTAGGACTAGATTAACACCTATTCTGCTTTCCTGTCCGGCGAGCAGTCTGGCCAATGGCTCTGGGGGAGAGCGCAGATCGTGTTGATCCCCAGAGCAAGTCTGAGGAGTTCTTCCTTCACGTGGTTGCCGCCTGTTATTTGGTCTGGTTCAATAGGAAACAGACAGAACTGAAACACTCAGACGATCCTCTTCTTATCTTTTATCCCACCCCCTTTTTCCCATCCTAACCCAATCCAAGGTGTCAAACGTACCGTGCGGATGAATGCGTGGCTGGAGGGAGTCCAGTCGCAAACGGTGCCTACCCGAGACCAGGGCGATTTGTGTAGTATTTTAGCCCTTCCCTCGGCGTGCGGGGGTAACCGAATATTTCCCTAGCTAATCGTGGGACCAAAATTGACGAAAATGGACATTTTGAAAAGATTAACGAAAAATCTTCTCTAATGAACTATCTGTAGGTTTGGAAGAGGCTCTTTTTGCCTCACCAATATCCTGCAACACTACGTCCCAACCTGGGACGAGCCGTGAAGTGGAGGGCACGTCTGCAGCCGAACCACAATCGGAAACGAACCAGTGAGGGGAAAAGAAAAAGTTCGCACAGGCCTTATAAGCTTAGTGGGGCAGCAAGGAAGAGGTACCGACGACTGACAGCATCTTTCAGAGCCCTACGAAGGCCTTGTAATGAGGACTGGTGTAGGGCTGCAAAGATAATAAGGCCAAACCTGGTGCAGTGGGCTGTTGACTCTTATAAACCATTTATAACAAGCAGGGAGGATGGAATAATTCCCATCCAACTGCGGAGGGGTATCGACATCCTTCTTCCCTATCTGGTGAAAATCTTCAGAGCAAGTTTTGCCTGGGGATATATTCCAGAACGATGGACAATTGTCAAAGTTCTATTTATATCTAAGGCTGGTAGAAAGGACTATGCTTTACCCAAAGTCCTTTAGACCTATAAGCCTAACTTCCTTTCTCCTCAAAACATTGGAAAAGGTTATAGATAGACATATAAGGGATGTAGCTCTAGCTACGCGGCCCATATATTACTCATAAACCATTTTTATATTTCCATAACAAAGTTTTGTTAAAAATAATGTTGTTTGGCGCTTACTTAGTTTTTTTTCCGAGCGCTTGCTCGGTATGGCTATCTCATAATTTGCGTACTATGAAGTCATTGCATCACTTTTATTTTGACACTCCCGCAGTCGTCCGTTAGCTTCACCGACAAAGGAATAAGCCACGCCCCCAAAACTTCGATTCATTTTCAAGGTATCCTCTTAAAATACAAGTGTAAAAAGTAACAACCTGGTGAAATTCTATAAAATCAGCGATCTCTATACTTCAATTAATGTGTAGAAATAATGTTAAGAAAATCCAAAAAATGGAAATGTAAATGTTACTCTCACACTAAGGATTTTTTCTGTACAGTGCAGATGTTTTGTATTCATAGATGAATTGCATATAAACAAACAACAGGAATAATAGTTATTTTAAAAGTTACCGAGTCGTCAAGTTACAAGTATAAAATCAAGTAAGATACACGGTAACACAATTTGTTTGAAAGAATTCTAATCAAGTTTAGAAAGAGATGGCATTACAACAACAAGCACAATATAAACTCCATATATGAGCTATCTGCTCCCAGCATAGTTTGCAACGCCTTTTTTGGCAGAAATATTCACGGACGTGCGCTAAAACCAAAGTTTCATTATAATCGGATAAATGGTATAGGAAGGCATACGGGACAAACAAAGTAACATTCTTTATAAATATAATTAACAGAAATCTAACCTGAGTAACACGTATAGGCACTAATGTTTTACGCAGTCACATGAACCAACTATCTATTAACTATTCTGTGGCGTCACATTTATAATGATATCACCGGCCAAACCATCTCTATATCCATTACTATTAACAGTGATTGTTATTTGGCCGTCTGCGTGACTTATAGGCTCTTCCGGTACTGCGGCGGTGGACTCCTCGGCAGGTTTCAGTACTATAACGGGAGCCACCATTCCTTTCCCAATTGGTACGGTTGGGGTTTCTTCGCCCTTGATGTAATGAATTGGGTAATGTTTTTTTAAATCCCTCATCAGTCTGAATTTCATATTACACTCGGTGCATCTAAAAATAAAATTGTGTCATCCATTATATGTGGTAGAGCCATGCTGTAGTATATTAGTAGGATAGTTGCAATTGATAGAATCAGGCGTTACTTTGCGGAAATCCATTATAATTTAAAAAAAAAAAAACAAGATTCTCGGCTGACTTAGCGGTCAGCCGCTGTAGAGTCTAGTGGTGTTGTAAGTAGTGGTGCCGGGAGTAGTGGTGTTGGGAGTAGTGGTGACGGAGTTAGTGCATGCAATTGAGGGAGGGCGGGAGGTGCTCTTCAATCCAGGTAAGACACATCATTGTATTTAGTTAGCGGAAGGTTGCGAAGTAATTTATAATTTTAGTATAGTTGTAGCTCGAATGGGTCTGCTCAACCGGAGAAGGACAACGCTCTCACAGAATACTAGCGTAAAATAGCAGCTTAACGCTGCAGTATTTTATATAGTGAGTGTAGAGAAATAGAGACTCCTTTTACTGGAAATGAGAAATTTCATCTTAGTCCTCACATGTGACAACACATCTGCATTTTAATTCGTAGTCGAGGATAGATGTAGATGTCTATGGGCCACAGCAACTACTTACCATCAGGTGGACTGTGGGGTCGTTTGTCAACCTTATCCTATAAAAAAAATATCTGTTCAGAAAGAGAACACAAGAACATTGGGTGTGTGAAATGTTGTTGTTGTCATGAAAGTTTCGTCAAGCTCTAGAAAGTCATGAGGCACAATAAAATGGGTGTTGAATAAGGGAGATGTTCTTTAAATCACAGGCTTTCAAATCTAGGAATGCTTTGCTGCCTTGAAGGCCATCTGAGTAGGTATCACCTTTTTGCCTATTGCCGCTAAAAAGCAGTGCTCATACTGTTGTGTTCTGGTCTGGAGGGTATAGAGCCAGTATAAATTACAGGTTGTGAAGCAATTCATCTTAGTTCTCAGAGGGACAATGCATCTGCAGTCTTTTTTTATTATGTTGGTATCAGGCGTCCATAGACTGCAGTAGCCACATACCATTAGCTCACTGCCTAAGAACATACAGTCAGTAATCGCGTTTGATGTTGTTGGAAAAGCCGACATCGCGTCGATCATCGACGTCGTGACGAATAAAACTGCTAGTCACAACTGGTTGTCACAACGGGAAGAAATTAAAAATAATAAAGTGAATTTTTTTCCACGCTTAAACAAATTATTCGGACAATTGGTGTTCAGAAAAATACGTTATAATAAGCAGAGGTACGAAAAAATTATTTCAAAAATAGTCAACGTTCGAATATAAGTTGTTTATAACACATATTTTATATTTGATTACATCATCATCACCACGGTCATCATTACAGACCTTCACAAGTCCACTGCTGAACATAGGCCTCCCCCAAGGAATGCCATAAAGCACGGGCCTGAGCCACCTGCATCCATCGACCTCCTGCATGTCTTACCAGGTCGTCACTCCATCTAGTGGGGGATCGCCCTACACTACGCCTACCGGTACTAGGCTGCCACTCAAGAACCTTTCCTCCCCATTGGTTGTCGGTTTTTCGAGCTATATGGCCGGCCCATTGCCACTTCAGCTTACTAATTCGTGGGTTTCTCTGCATGATAAACGTAGAAATGAGGATAACCACAGTAGAGCCAAAGTGACCGACATTCGATTACATCTTGAAATGTAAGCTTTCAAGTAGCTCAAGTTGAGTACACAAAGATGGCATAAACACAAAATACAAATAAATTCTCATGAAGGTTAGAGAACAGGAGAACGATCACCGTAAAAAATAGTGTCCAGAAATATGGACACCATAAGTGAGGCGCTGCGATCGCTCGAGGTTCGGTCAATAAAAGTAATTTTGAGTCTATTTTTCCGATCAGATGCTAAACCACTTGCACATCCACGCACAATAACATATTTCTCCATTTTTTAATATTTATTTTTCTCAAAAGTTACAAAATTACGGAGCATGAAAATTTTTTCATTAAAAATGATTTGAAAATTTGTACATTATTCAACTAACTTCATCTACTTGTACTCATAAACAGCTAACTTCGCGGTCACTACTCACCGACGTCAGCGCCGCTATACATTCAATTTTCAAGGACAGGCGGGCTATGCTTTAGTACGTAGTGATCGTTCTCCTGTTCTCTAACCCTCATGTAAATTCTACTAGGTACTGCGTAACTGCAGTGTAAACATTTCCACTACCTAATATTGTCCCGCGAGTGTTGTAAGAGGAAACAGATGAAAACAAACCAAAAGGTAGACGGCAGAATTTTCCAAATAACAACTAAAATTTGGTCATCTTTATTTTCCGTTTTTTTTTTATAAAAAGTAATAATTTAATTTTAAATTTTACATTGATATATTATGTATAGGTAGATAAAAATACATACTGATAGATGTTTTGTCCGACGTGCATACGCATATGTTTCGCCACATCGTTGCTCTGCGTGAAGGCGCGGTCACAATACTTGCAACGGTATGGTTTTTCTCCAGTGTGAATACGCATATGTCTTTTTAAGTGGTCATTACAAGAAAACCTGTGAATAATTTTTTTAATGTTCTATTCCATTCACAATAACAACTACCCTCATGAAAATTTTGCAACCTGATATAATTACTTGCCATACTTTTTTTACGTGTTAGAGCCATGCTGCAGCTTTATTAATTGTATAACAATGTCCTCCAGACCGAATTTCGGTTACGGCGGCCTGCCTCAACGTCTAGTCGAGACTAGCCATCGGCGCAGGACAGGATTACAGAACCCAAGTGTATGCGCAAGCACAGGTGCACTCTCTATTCCTTCACTCTCATAATTCGATGGGACGGTACACCGACACGACCGAAGAGAGATCAGGTGCAGGACCAACGGCTTTACGTGCTTTCTGAGGCATGGGGTGAGATACCGCCAACTTCCTTACTCCAGGCAGCTACTGAGAATTTCTTAACGGAAAAAGTCAATTGATTTTTTTGGCCCGGCCCGGGATTCGAACCCAGGACCTCATGATCAACAGTCGCACTAATACAACCACTAGACCAACGAGGCAGTCGTCGTAATTCGTAATCGAGGATAGATGTAGATCCCCCTGGGGGGTTGTTGTCCCTTCTTATGTGAAACCACACTATGGGTGTGTGTTTTTTTTGTGCAAAAATTGGCGCAATCGGGCATAAAATGTTGGTGTTAAGAAAGAGTTTTTCTAATCAATGGCTTAGGTTTCTCCAAGCCGCCTATGGGCCAAAGCAACAACTAACCATCAGGTGGACTGTGTGCTCATTTGTTACCTTTATCCTATTAAAAAAAACCTATTGAATTATTTACTGTATGGGTGTCATTATGGGAATATCCCATATATACACTTAAGTGCGGTATTTTTTTTTTATAGAATAAGGGTGACTAACAAGCACACAGTCCACCTGATGGTAAGTGGATGCTGTGGCCCATAGAGATCCACACATATCCTCGATTATGAATCAAAATGCAGATGCGTTATCACACCTGAGGACTAAGGTGGAATGTCTCTTTTCGAGTAAAATAGGTTTCCGGTACTCTACACCCACCATATGAAATACAGCAGCATTAATCTGCTATTTCACGCTGGTATTCTGTGAGAGCATGGTCTTTCCTAGGTCGAGCCGACCCATTCATGCTACAACTATATAGCTGCATCATGGCTCTACCACATTAAAAACGGTACTTAAGGTACTTATATTTCTACATGCAGTAATGTCTTATGCAGTTATTTTAAACCTTGTAATAAGTGTAGAGAGATCTTCTTATTTAAAACGCATCCACTTTTATCATGGCAAATATGGTAGAAATGTTAAATCTAATAAAACACAATATTAAGGGCGTGTAGATTTAGTTAGATCTTATGATACTTATGTAGTAAATGCTACAAAATCTTAAAAATTACAATGGAAATGTTGCAGTTTAAAATTATACGATCTCTACAATCAATGTGTTTTAGCTGTGATGACCACTGCTGTGAGGAAATTCAGTAATTCAGGCAGCTACAGAGACCACAGACAGACCTAGGCTTAACTCATCCTGCCTATAACAATCAGTATTAAGGAGTTATACTACAAGAGGTAGCAACATAGTTAATAGATAAGTAGGCCGAAATGAGCTGACTTTGAGCGATCATATCGCACATCGGGTGCAATAACGTCATAACTACACACATTTTTTTTTTCAGGAGATCGATTTAAAAGTTGTTATTTTAATAAAGGGAAATATATTTATATTCCTATTATGTATCGATGACCAAACATTGTTTATACTCTATATATTTAAATTAAGGTTGTTTCAGAAATAAAAAAAATATGTAAGTGGCACATATTTATTGCTTTTAATGACGATACTTACATTAATGACGTTGCGCAGAAAGTTAAATTAAAAATAGAACATGTCCGTGCAACAACGTCATAAAGGCCGCACTAAACAAACAATCAACACTATTAATTTATGAAATAGCTATTAAACTTAACTTTTTCAATGGTTAACAATTATCAACATTATTATCAAAATAAATGGCATGTAAATCTAACAAAATTATGAATAATTTCTAACATTTAAGTATCAGTAATAAGACTCATGAGTTTTTTCCATAACATACCTAACTGTATTAGTTTATGAAAATTTTAGCAATCTTAATGTTATTGCCGGTGTACTGGGTACCTTATTACTCTTACATTTAATAATCACAGTTACTAAAAACAATCTTAAAATCTGAATAAAATAAATAAAAGTTTTCAAAGCCACAATATTTTTTTTACCAATTCTAACAAAACTTGTTTTTTTCTACCACTTATCGGTACCTATATTAGACATATAAGCAGGTTTTAAAGATATTTTTTCTATAGTTATGTCGTTCCCTGTTCAGGTGTATTTTCCCGCAATGCCCTGGTTTAATCGGTAATATTTGCCACGTTCCAATTATCAGGCTTGTGCATAGTTTTATACTTATAAATATCACAGCCCTTCATAAATGTAATAACTTTAATATGAGTCGTTTTGATTGCTTCTACAGAAAAATTTATTGTTGTATTTATATTTGAGTCATCTGCTAGCTTCTTCAAATCCACGAAATCGGTATAGTTTAATTCTATTATTTTAAAGGGTTTGCTGTCTTTTTAGCGTTTCTGATTAAAACTATGGCTGGTCTGGAACGTAAATGGCACCAGATTTTTTAGCCCTAGTGACAGATTTTTCTATTACTGAGTGAGCCGCATCTCAGTCATTCTGAGTGTGGCCCTCAATTAAAAATTAATGACTCACGGAATTTATCGGTAACATATTAATAGCATAGCAGTACATACAAAACATGTACCTGAAACAATGTTATTATATTTAATTAACAAATAGGCAAATAATTACTAACATTACACAATAAGGTAGTTTACTAACTTATTCTTTTGCTATCCGCAGCAATTATCCAGAATAGAATATAATATCGAATATAAAATTATCTCAGTTAAATCTCTCAAAAAGTTGTATATGCAATCCAATCCAATCTAATTTCTATGACTTCTCGATTGCCTATTCCTTCGTGCTAAGAGAAGCATGTTGTTTCTTTATTTTTGGCGTAGACATCTGAAATATAAATACATTTTACATAGACGCAATAAATGCCAAATAATAATTAAATATTATACTATCCTTGAAATTATCATTAACGACTATAATGACTTACCGTAAAATTGTAACAATTTAATTTTGAGATATAGATAGTGATCGGATAATCGGATGCATATTTACCTAAAGTGTTTTGGCTATTATGGAATGCGCTTCACTTTTGTATCGATAAAATCCCGGGATTTCGGAATCGACCAATTTACTGTTTTTATTATAGAATGCCAAATCGGGTGTAGGTTGTATATATAAAAAACGCTAGAAATAATAACTTCCTCTTATATTTTTTAATTAACACCCACTACCTACTATTCCTCTTACATTCAACATACGTCATTAATTGATAGGGAGTTTAAAATTAACTTCAAGTAAATACACATTAATAATTATGTAATCCCCCAGTTTTTTCGCGTCCCCTTCTAATAAAGACTATTTTCGCGTCCCCTTATCTTCTGGAATCCCAGGATTTATATTTTAAAAATATGTTTTAAGAAGCCGCTTCCATAATTTCCTAGATAAAATGAACTTTAGGTAAATATGCATCCGATTATCCGATCACTAGTTATAGTAGCAGTAGCAGATGACTTTCCAATCGGACATGGCATTACAGCTTGCAAATCAAAAAAAGAATTGACATTTACTCATGTTCACGTCTTTTTCTATCCTAGACAAACTTTTTTCTTCGACGTAAATTTTAAGAATTTTTTACAGTTTTGATTTCTCTTCGACAGATGCTTTTTGTAGGCTTAAATATTGAATTCAGTGTTAAAAATTCGAGCATAAGCATCGTAACAAGCTATTGGTTTATTTTCTTCCTGACGCTTTTTCTTGTAATTTCTATGCATTTCTGCTATAGTTAAATCTCCCTCTACGAATACTCTACTAGTATTCGCTCTTAAATAATGACTCTCTATCTTTGACATCGAATTAATGTGATCTCTCACAGATTGTTTTATTTCTTCGTCCAATCGGATTTGTTTACCGTGTTTTCCTCTTCCATCTTCTTTCATAACATTATGGCCTTCATCATCATGCTTGCATTCTATAACTGTACGCAAAACTCTTTCAGTGATACCTAAAGTATTAATAAAAAATGTTTTGCATACTCTAATTTCACATTCTTCATTTTGCAAATAAAAAGCTGTGTTCGGTTTCCTGGGATTATTTTTACACGATTCTTTTATTCTACGAAACGACAGCTCTAGAAGTCTCACACAAGATCCCAAATAATCTCGCTGTCTTTGTAAATGGCCTAAATGCCAATAAGCATTAAATAGTTTTGTTCTCTTTTCTGTAGAAAATTTTGATGAGCAAGACAGCCGGCATTTATCTGAGCAAGTCGGCCCCATTATTCTAGCTGCTTTAACCATACCAGTTTCTAAGGAAATATATTCCTGACCAGAATTTTTCAGCATTTTGGCGACATTTTTTTTCCATTTGCTTGGATTGCGAGTACGTTTTCTACCACATTTTGTGGTCGATGGTCTGGGTGTTTCATGGTCAGATTCCAATGACGAACTTCCTGAGCTGCTGTTAGAGCTGCCGCTAGAGCTGCTACTTGATGATGATTTAGGCACGTACTGATAATCATCATTAGTTCCAGAAAAGCCATGTCCAGGTAAATTTTCATTGTAGGAAACTCTAGGCTAAAATGTTTTTAAGAAATTAAGGAAATTACGTAAACATATTAACAGAAACCAAAGAATATGTAAAATCATTCCGAATCAGAAAATTTTATACTGTACCTGAGTTTTATCATCATATACATTTGAAGTTTCAAACTTCTTTGTAACATAATGTTTTGTTAGGTCACCATCATAAGGGTTTAAAATGGAAGAAGAACTTGCTATCGATAATGCTGAATACAGAATGACAAATAAATAAACAATTACGAATATACTTACTTACACAAAAAGTTTTATTTAAAAAAAAAAAAGACAAAAACTTACTAGATTCTATATTAGGGACTTCAACTTGATTATGGCTTTCATTGTTCGATAATTGTTCCAACCGCACTAATCTTTTACCTCGTCCTTCCATAATTTTATTTAAGCTAAATATAAAAATAAGACATATTACATTTTATAAGTACAGTATTTAAATCCATTATTTATAAATACGGTGGAATAAAATTAAATCCGGATTTCATTCTAAATAAATTATGAAAACGGTTTATAGATTATGTATAGTACATTTTTGGGACAATATTGACACAATTGTAATAAATGACAGTAATACTTGCTGCTTGTAATAGAAAATAGAACCACAAAGTCAGAACTGTCCACTTGTGTCATTCATTCCCAAACCTGTATGAAATATTTGTCATAATTACCTTTAAGACGTTGTCGCTCCTACACACAAACACTTCCTGCGGGAGGCCGCGCGCAACTGACCAATTAGAACGTTCTCGCACTAGCGTTTACAGAAACCCCGGCAAAACCACAACGACATTTCACCCTCAGTAGGACATTTTAAGTTACATTTATGATATTACTGCACCGGATGTAGACGCATGTTTGACATAATTTGTGATCAAGAACTCATTTTACCAATTTTAACATTTATGACGTTATTGCACCAATGTGCGCGATAAATTTCGAAGAACTGACACCTAACAGGTAAGAAAGATTCTCATGTGGCATTCTTAGCATGCAATTGGAATGATAAGAAGTATTTTATAATCTAGGCTGAATAATTATAAATTGAAAATCTCCCAGGATACCAGCGTAAAATAGCAGCTCAATGTTGCCGTGTTTTGTATAGTCAGTGTAGGGATGCGGAGACCCTTTTTACTGGATACGATGTGGTTTAATCTTCAGGGGTGATGCGCATATGCATTTTGATTCTTAAATGAGGGCAGATATAGATGTCCAAGGCCCACAGCATCCACTTAATATCGGGTGGAGTGTGTGCTCATTTGTCAACCTTATTCTATAAAAAAAAGTTCTATTCCATTCCCGCAATAGATTGAAGTAAATTGAGACATACAGGAAACGTCGTTAAAACTATAGTGGCATATGGTTCTGAACCATGATTTGTGACCTTTGGTGGAAGCCTATGTTGTGGATGAGTTTGACTTACCTCTTATTGCAAGTATCACAGGCAAACGCTTTGATTTCAAGATGGATAAATTTATGTTTCTTCAATGAATTGAGCTTTGTAAAGCTAGCGCCACACTCGTCGCATTTGTGGGGATGGGCACCGGTGTGTGTTGTTAAGTGACCCATCATTTGACCTTTAAAATAAACAATGGTAAAGTCAAAAAAGACTTAAACATTCGCGTAATTAACCATCATCATCATCATCAGTTATAAAGTCGGGGCCTCCCTCACAAATTTTTGTATAGAATAAGGGTGAAAAACATGCAAACAGTCCACTTGATGGTACGTTAGTATAGACATCTACATCTATCCTGAATTAAGAATCAAAATGCAGATTCATTATCACCCCTGAGGACTAAGATGAAAGGCCTCGTTTACACTAAAAAGCATCTCCGGTTTTCGACAATCACCATTTTTATATTTTGTGAGAGTGTGGTACTTCCCTAGATGAGTCAACCCATTCATGTTACAACCATTACATAGCTGCAGCATGGCTCTATAACATATAATAATATATCTATATATAATATAATTGTAAATTTATGAGACTGCCACATCATGGGGATATTTGTCATAGTAACCATACTTAGCAGGTGGGATGACAACTGCAGTTCTTTCTTATTTTAAGTGTCTATCAGGAAGATGCTGCTGCCAATTTCCTGTTTAATTTCATTTACGTCATAACTGCACGGCCGTTGAAGGAATATGAAGAATATAATATACACTACAAGTATATATCAAAACAAATAGATCTGTGCATACTTTTATAATGTAACCTTTTAATTTTAAGCATTGCCATAATACCGCGTAGTGGCGGTGTAAGAATTCCACTACCCCATATTATCTCGCGGGTGTCGTAAGAGGCGACAGAGAAACAAATTGGGCTGCAATGTATTCCTAATACAGACTAAAAAAACTCAACCGCCAACCCGCCTGCCAAGCATGGCAACTATGGAAAATATCCACGATGAGGCAATCTACAGGAGAAGTCTATGTTCAGCAGTGAACTTTAATAAACTCTTAACAGTAATGGTAAAGGTATTGTTACGGCTTAATTATGTTTTCAAATACACATGAGTGAATTTACATTAACTTATTTATGTTATATAGAAATAGTAACTATGCCTAATAGATTGCTATCCTCTTTTTTGGCAATTTTTTTGTGGTATATAAATGGGATTTCTACAGTTCCTACGGTGCCACGATTTGAACACGACTGGCGGATTCGCATAGATCTCGACGAGATATGCCGAAAAGTAAGAATAACATTTTTCGATATTTTGCTTATTTCCGATATATCGATATTCAAAAATCGAATCAGCACGCCCCGACTCCATGTAGTCTTGTTTACCCTGCCCCTAGAGTGTATTTGTAAAGCTGTAGGCGTGGAGAGAAAGCAGCCCCGCCCGCTGGGTGTATGGGTGCCTACGATTTGCTACGCAAAGGCGAAGGGGCTGCACTTCCCGCCGAATCCGTTGCAGAAGTAATTTCGGGTCAATATTCCTGTGTAAAAAAAGTAATTTTTGAATATCGATATCTCGGAATATCAAAACATTTGATTTTTACTTTTCGACGTATCTAGTCGAGATTTATGGGAATCCGCCTTCAAATCGTAGCGCCGTAAAGACCGTAGTCGTGCTATATAAATGCGATGAGAAACAGTATTCTCATTTTCCAGTAACAAGACATTCCATCATAGTGCTCAAAAGTAACAACGCATCTGCATTTTGAGTTTTTCTATTTATTTTAATAGAGAAGATAGTTTCTTTCTATTTATTTTAATTATTCTCACCTTTAGTAGTGAAAGCTTTTGGACAAAATGTGCAAGCAAAGGGCTTAATACCCGTGTGCCTATTCATATGTTGGCGTAGATTGGAATTACTCGAAAAGCTTTTGCCACACTCGGAGCATAAGTATGGAGCTTCTTTGGTATGGACACGGAGATGGTCTTTCAGGCTACACAACTGGAAAAATCCTGAAATTCAATAAGTAAAAAAATTACTTAATAATGCCTTATCAACAAACAGTGATTTGACTTAATATTCAGGGAAAAATATAGAGCAATAGAATTAAAAGTTATGGTGATGTAATAATTTTTTTTAAACAATACTCTGTGTGACGGTAACTATATGCAAGTCAAAAAGCCCGGCATACCCCCATAGCGAATTTAATAACATTATTAAATTTATTACATTGAACATAAACTGATTTCGAGATAAGAATTAAATTTTCGTATGCTTATCTAGACTATACCTAAACTAGTAATAAGATAATATTTAAACTTTCGCGCTTCGTTCCTTTTTTAATAAAATATATTATACAGACAGGGATACAAAGAAAATGCGCTATTTGCTTGGTAAAACAAAAAAGGGGATGCTAAGATCTTGAAATCTTAAAACAATGGTTAAATAATCTTCTTCTACTTAGCATTTTTGTGCTGTCTAAAATTTTCAGTGGTAGTAAGTTAAAAAAATGCAATAATAAAACCTGTATAAATGTGAGCATCTGCATTACCAATGCATTTTCCGGGTTTGTATTTTAAATGTCTATGTCAAATTCATAATACGCCAATTTCAGAGCATCGCAACATTCTAGGTGAAATCTGTCAGATTAAACAATCTGATTAACGGTTTATGATCCGTAATGATACAAAACTTCCTTCTTAGTAAAAATTCATGAAATTTTGTAACCCTGCAAATTATGGCTAAAGTTTCTTTAACTATTTGTCCATACCGTCACTTGTGGTGTTGTAACATTCTGGATGCCATCATCACTGGTCATTCCATCCATCCATCGCATAGGCAATTATTGCACATACACCATATTCTGATGCATCACAGATTAACAATAACTCTCTTTTTAAAGTCATATCCAAAACAAAACCTTAGCTTTATCAAAGGCAACCTGCTCCAGGGAACCCCATACCCATTTCTTTGCTTCCAGCAATCAATACAATGCCTTCAGTATTGTAGCTTTGTCCACAATGACTTATTCATAAAAATTATATAAATCTAAAAATGCCCGTAGCTCTTCTTTTTTCACAGATGCTGGTTTCTCCTTTATTTTTTTTCTCTAATAATAGTTAACGGGTGCAGTCACTCTGCATCAATCATATGTCCTAAAAAAGTTAACTGATTTGACACAAACAAGCATCTGTTCAGTTTTAATCGAAATCCCATTGAATTTAGTTTAGTCATGACCACCCTTAGTCTTTAATCATGCTCCTCCATATTCTTTCCACTGACAGCAACATCATCCAATAGACATGCTACTTTTTTCATACCTGTGAGTGTAGTCGACGTCAAAAGCTGGAAGATTCCAGGGGCTGCTTTTACTGTAAATGCTAGCTGGTTCAACTTCATTAACCCTAACAGAGCATTCAGTGTTAACAACATAGCTGTGTCCTCATGTTCATCTGCATGTAAGCCTGTTTGAAGTCAATCTTCAATTCTTCCACCACTTAATTTCACAAAGGACTCATTAGCAGTTGGTAAAGTAAATGTATCAATCTTTATGGCTAGATTAACAGTTGATCCATAGTCACCACATATTCGAAGTGAGCCGTCATCCTTTTTTACAAATCTTAATGGATTTCTTAAATTTACGCAAACACTACACATTGAAAACTATTTATATGTATTTTATCGCATTTAATTAACTTATTTTTAATTCCCGACGTTTCCGGTGCTTTACAGTACCCATCACAAAGGGGGCCAAGATGTTTGACGTCAGTCATCATTAGGTCAAGGTCATATTTAGCTCAGCTGCATTCAAGTTTTTGACTATTAATTTTTGGTTCAATCTACGCAGAACAAGCCTACAGTATCTTGAAGTTGTGCAATGGTATGCTTGGGTTTGGATTTAATTTTGTTAATTATAGGATCCCAAGCAGATGGCAGCACCCATCCATCTTCTATATTAAAATTAGTATGTTTTTTAATTGCAATAGCCTTGCGTATCATTCTTGGTAGGAAACAGTGTTATTTTGCGGGGATTTGTGGTTTATCAAATCTGATGTAATGGTCCCCACCATTGAACAATCGATCTTGACTTGAAACAATCCTGAGCTTGCTCACAAACTGCAGACTTCCCGGAGTGTCTGTGCTTCACATCAGCTATGTTCTTTCATGCAGGTTTTTATAGATCTTTTTTGGTTTATCTTATGTAAGAGAGACCACATTCACAATCTAGCTTGTACACTCCTGTATCTTGTAGAGGAATATCCTCTCGTCAGTCCACAACCTTTAGAAGGTTGCTATTTACATATAAACTTCAGGGTTGGACAGATGCGCCAAAGCGGGCATTTTGGCCGGGACAGTTGAGAGAATAATAGACTTGATGGATGGTAAAAATTGACTAATCTTCTTCAGCTCAAATTTTCAGATAAAATTTTCCAGGAAACATCACGTTTAGAAAAATTACTTCTTAAACTTATTAATATTCCTCAGTCTCCATTAAAAGATGCATGTCAGATCAAGTTGCAAAACAAACTCATTTAATCAAATCTAAGGTAGATTTTACAATTCTAACTGCAAATCAATACCTAACAATGTGCAGTAGTGATTACTGATCATTATTACTTAAGGATCACCCATCCTATATTAATCTATTAAAATTATTACAAAGTAAATAAGTTTTTACATTCAAAATCTTTTTCGTTCGTTCAAGTATCTATCTAGCCCTCATCATAGGCAGGTAGATTGACAATCCCCATTTCACACATGCTGTGTTTCTATGCTGTTTAAAGTTACAGCCTATATACATTCCACTCCTGGGCACAGGCCTCCCCTCATTTCTGAGTGGGTTTACACCATTAACTCGCTGAGATGCTGTTTATCATCGCCAATCTGGGTACTACAGATCTGATATAATCAACTTAATATACCAGCATTTATTAGAAGCCATAAGGCATTTTATCATATTTCTTAGTTGCTTCTTACAACATGCACAAAATAGGGACATAGAAGACCTTACAATGTCACAATACAATTAAAACCGAAATAAACTTATACCATTCAGTATAATTAAAATTCAGCTGCAGCCCCAAAGTAAAAGTGATATGTTAGTCTCTACTCTCTTTTCTCCTCTATTTGAAAAACTGATGATGCTCACATCAGTGTTTCAAACAAACCTTTTTGAATGGACCTGTTACAATTATAAGACAAATTCTGTTTCATGAATCTACACATTTAAGATATGCCAGTGCATGGCAATACATGAAACATATTTCTATAATTATATAATTATTAGTAAAAGTATTATATAATTATAAGCCTTTACAATATTTTTCATTACTATTCATGAAATTACAAGAACTTCACAAACAGAATACTTATATTATAAAAACAATTCAAGTAACATATTGTATGTTGTGATAGTTTTATCAATTGTATTTAAGTAACATTATTTACCTTTATTGCAATATGTGCAAATGTGGGTTTTAACTTTATTATGCCTTTTCATATGCTCCAGTAATTGGTCTTGCCTTGTATATCTTTTTGGGCACTTTGGACATATGAATGGTCGATCAATTGAATGCAATTTTAAATGTCTTTTTAAAAGTGGTTTCATAGAAAACTCTTTGCCACAATAATCACATTCAAACCTAGAATTACCATCATTTTTTAAATTACAGTTCCTATGTTTTCTTCGATGTGATATGAGAGATCTTTCTTTATAAAATATTTGATTACATTCATTACATTTATATTCATCTCTACTATCTGTTTCAATATCTAAGATTGCTGATTCACTAACATTATCATCTAAGCTGTCATTGAAGATGGGTTCTGACTTCACCTCAACATCAATTTGCTTGGTGATAGATGATTCACCATGGGTTGCTAAATGATTTAAAAATCTTTTGTGACTTATATATTGCTTTTCGCACTTATCACATACATATAAATTTGCCTCGGTTTTAATTTTAGTTTCATCACCCAACTCATTACTTTGAGGGTTCGTTGGACATATTTTAATACTTTCATCAGTTGGTTCTACACATGTAGCATCATCCTTCAATTCTTCTTTTAGAGTACTTTGTAACAACAGTAACTTTTTCAACTGTTCTTCACTTTTCAGAGCATTATTACGAAATATCACAAACATTTCAAGTATGTTTACACATTCACTGCAGATACTTCGTGGCAATCCGTCATCTCTCAATACCTATGAAAAAGATATAAATTAAATCACTCTGAATTACAATACTCTGAAATACAGTTCTTCGCGTCATATAGAATTTCACCTGAATTGCTGTTGTGAACATCAAGATATCGGCTAGGAGAGTATTATAATTATCCTCAATTTTTAAAGGCCCAAACAAATCTACCAAATTATCAGAACTTTTCATACAAGTTCGACATGTAATTGTTAAATCCCCCATTTTTGAATATTAACATAATATCCTGTAACAAAGTACTTAATAACTGTATATAACGCAGTAAAAGCAAAACATAATTAAAATTTTCGACAAAATAAAATCACAAGCAGCTAACAATTTCAAATTTATAGCATAGATAAAAAAATAGCAAGATTTATATTTATCGATATTTATAGTAGGCATGTCGATCTAAAATCGATTACCCGAAGTAAAATAATCGATTTTTATATCGATTCTGAGCACCCAAACTGGCTGGTGTAAGATACCGCAGTTTTTTAATTTTTTGCTGCTGGCGGACGCAAAAATAACTAACTTACTTATAAAATAATAACTACTACGTACTTGGTTTATAATTTGAAAGCAATATGTATTTGAATAAAATAAATATGAACGCTTCCGAAGATATTGTAAAGTTGTAATTTCAATTTCGGCTTACTGAAGTTAAAATTTTATTTTTTTATTTTTCAAGTTTCGTTATCGTATATCGTTAGTTCGTGGTTTGTTCTTTTTTTTTTATAGAAGAGGGGGCAAACGAGCATGTGGCTCATCTGATGTTAAGTGACTACCGCCGCCCATGATCAACCGCAACACCAGGGGAATTGCAGGTGCGTTGCCGGCCCTTTAGAAAGGAGTAAGCTCTTTTCTTGAAGGTCCCCAGGTCGTATCGGTCCGGAAAAATCACCGGTGGTAAATTATTCCACAGAGAGGTTGTACGCGGAAGAAAACTCCTTTTGAAACGTACAGTGGTGGACCGCCAAGCATCCAGATGGTGTGGATGGTATGGGGAAGTTTGCCGCGTAGTGCGTTCACGAAATTTGGCGGCTGGGATTAATCCGAACAATTCCTCAGAGCACTCCCCCGTGATAGATGCGATAAAATACGCAAAGAGATGCAACATCTCTTCGCAGCGCCAGTGAATCGAGCCGATCGGAAAGCACTCGGTCGTCGACGATTCGAGCCGCTCTGCGCTGGATGCGGTCAAGTGGAAGGAGCTGGTACTGGGGAGCCCCAGCCCAGAGATGGGAACAGTATTCCATGAGCGGCCGAACCTGCGCCTTGTAAAGTTGCAGACGGTGTGCCGGCATGAAATACTGTCCCGCTCTGCTGAGCACGCCAAGCTTTTTAGAGGCTAATTTGGCCTTCCCTTCCAAGTGACCACGAAACTGCACGTCACTCGATATGTCGACGCCGAGGATTCCGATACTGGCTGAGGCAACAAGGGGAGTGCCTTGAAACTGAGGGGATACGACAAAGGGGTTCTTTTTAGCGGTTAACGCGCTAACTTGTGTCTTCTGGGGGTTAAACTGGACTAGATTTAGTCGCCCCCAATCCGAGACTCTGTCCAGCAGAGACTCGACTTCAGACACACGTTTGTCCCGGCACTCAGAGACGTTTTCCCGAGAAATATTGGCTCGGCCGGTGTAAAGAGCATCACCAGTGCTGTCATCTGCATAGCAATGAATGCTACGGGTTTGCAACATATCATTGATATGCAGAAGAAACAGCGTTGGCGATTGCACGCAGCCCTGTGGAACACCAGCATTAATAAGCTTGCAATCGGAGCTTGCACCGTCTACAACGACCTTGATGCTCCGATCTGCAAGAAAACTGGTGATCCAATCGCACAATTTCTCGGGAAGCCCATAGGAAAGGAGCTTCCAAAGAAGCGGTTTGTGCCAAACCCGATCGAGGGCCTTCGCAATGTCCAAACTAACGGCCAATGCCTCCCCCTTGGACTCTACTGCCTCCGCCCATCTGTGAGTTAGGTAGACCAGAAGATCACCAGCTGACCTACCACGGCGAAAACCGTATTGGCGGTCACTAATCAGCTGGTGATCCTCAAGGTACCTCATGAGCTGGCAGTTTACAATGGACTCGATTGTTTTGGAGAACAAGGAGGTGATGGCGATAGGCCGGTAGTTGGACGGGTCTGAGCGGTCGCCTTTTTTAGGGATCGGGTGGACGAAAGCCGTCTTCCATGATTTTGGGACTACGCCTAGGGAGTAGGAGTATCGGAAAAGACGCGTTAAAACCGGTGCCAACTCTGGAGCACACGTCCTCAGCACAATTAAGGGGATTCCATCAGGCCCACACGACTTATGGATGTCCAGGGAGGGGAGTGCTTTGCGAACCGAGCGCTGAGTGAACTGCACTTCCGGCATGGAGCACTCACACCGCGGGATGGTCGGCGGCGTACTCCCCCCGTCATCGAGAGTCGAGTTAGACGCAAAGAAAGAGCCTAGAAGATCGGCTTTCTCCTTTGCGGTGTGGGCCAGTGAGTCGTCCTCCCTGTGCAGAGATGGAAGAGATGGCTGACAGAAATTCCCCTGGACAGCCTTGGCGAGAGACCAGAATGCACGGGTTCCAGAAGGAAGACGAACTGGTCTCTCGCCAATTCTGCCTATGTGCTCTGACTTTGCCTTGGCAATGAATCTTTTGAAGGACCTAGAGGCGGAATTATACTTCTTTTTTAGAGCTCTGGTGTTTACATCCCTGGACGCTGATGCGTCAGCCCAGGCTCGGTAGTACTCCTGCTTATAGCATGATGCTATTTTACAGGAGCGACCAAACCATGGCTGAGATTTGCCTCCAATGGGCACCACAGAGGAAAGGAATAAAAAGTTCCATACCCTGAAGTACCACATCAGCGACAGAATCCGCAACAACGTTGGGATCGTCCGGCGAGAAGCAAACCCGCCCCCCAAGGGTAGGATGCAAAGAAAGACCGCATCCCATCCCAATCGGCTGACCTATAGTGCCAAACACGGCGGCAGCCTGCAAAATGCAACCTGCGATTTCAGCGTGAGTGGCACCACACTCCGAACAAGACAATGGTCCGAGGAGCCTAAAGGGGCGTCGATGGAAATTCTGATATCCGTCCGGGTGAGAGGTCAGCAGAAGGTCCAACAGGGAAGGTGCATGATCCTCCACATCTGGAATCCGCGTAGGCGAAGTAACCAGTTGTGTCAGACCATATGCCAAGGCAAAATCATGAACAGATCTCCCCGCATGATCGGTTAAACGTGAACCGAGCCATTCGGCGTGATGGGCGTTAAAGTCGCCGAGGATCACGATCTCTGCGGAGGGGATCTGCTGTAGCAACGAATCTGCAGCCATTTGGACGTGGTCGAAGAGTCGGTCTGTTTCGGCATTACCGCTATGGGACCTATAGAGGCACCCGTAGACGCGCGGATGGTCGTCGCTGTCTACGCGTAGCCAAAGGATGGACGGGTCCGAACCTTCAAGTCTGCCGAGGCGTCGAGAACAGATGTCCTCTCTGACGTAAACGCAAACTCCAGCTCGAGGCACAAAGGAGTGTTCCAGTTTGTACCCCGGGCAGGAAAGATAGGAGACATCAGGCGGAGAGGACACCTGCGTCTCGGTCAGAAAGAGCAGAGCCGGCCTCGCCGTCTTGAGATGGTAGTGGACGGCGTTTAGGTTAGAGTGAAGTCCCCCTGATATTGCAGAAATTCACGGACAGCGTGGCAGGGGTCGCCTTGGTCTTGTTGCTCCGTTTGCCCCGAGCAGTTTTAGTCTTGAGCGGAATATTGCCCCCCCCCCCCAGAATACGCGGGGCAGCCTGAGCACCCACGCTCGGAAGTGGAGAAACATGGTCGTGGATGCTCAGCGAGGGATTCTCCAGGGGTGCTGGTACCCTCCTGGGGTAGTCTATCATTTAATTCCGCTACCATGTTGATGGGGGGGGGGGGATTTGGGCCTCCGGCCACCTGCACTCACCAGACGAAACGCGGAAGCAGAGCTTTCACTTCACGCCGGTATTCTGTGAGGTCGTGGTACCACCCCGGTTTGAGCCGGCCCATATGTGCGACAGCAAAGCTGCCGCGTGGCTCTACCACTGTTGTTCTTGATTGTTTTCTATCAATAGTTATTTGTTCGTCAATAATTTATTTATAAAAAACTAATAAAAAAATCTGCCTTATAGTTAGCCTTATAGTTAGATAATTTCTTTCCTTATTATTGGTCTTTTTATATTTTTTGATAAAATACTTTTTTATATCTTTGATAAAATACGTTTGTTCTATCAAAATTATATCTATTTTTGGTTTAATTAACATTTTATAAATAGGTACGTACGTATAAGTAAGTACTTATAATATTTATTTACAGTATCTATTATATATATATATATATGTATATATATATATATATATATATTCATCATGACAGCCCTTCACAAATCCACTGCTGAACATAGGCCTCCCTGAAGTAATGCCACAAAGCACGGTCCTGAGCCACCTGCATCCATCGACTTCCTGCATATCTTACCAGGTCGTCACTCCATCTAGTGGGGGGTCGCCCTACACTACGCCTACCGGTGCGAAGCTGCCACTCGAGAACCTTTCTTTCCCATCAGTTATCGGTTCTTCGAGCTATATGGCCGGACCATTGCCACTTCAGCTTACTAATCCGTTGGGCTATGTCGGTCACTCTGGTTTTACTACGGATATCCTCATTTCTCAGTCTATCACACAGAAAAACTCCGAGCATAGCCCTCTACATAGCTCGCTGAGCGACCTTGAGCGTCCTCATACGGCCAGCAGTGAAAGAGCACGTCTCAGATCCGTAAGTCATCACTGGCAACACGCACTGGTTATACAATCTAGTTTTCAGAGTTTGAGGTATACCTGACGAGAAGATGCGTTGTAATTTCCCAAACGCTGCCTAGCCGAGTTGAATCCGTCGATTGACCTCTCGGTCAAAGTTGGACTTACCTAGTCGGACTATTTGTCCAAGGTAAACGTACTCGTTAACAACTTCGAGCATAGTGCTCCCAACAACTACCGGCATAGGTGTGACATGGACATTAAACATGATCTTTGTTTTGTCCATGTTCATCTTAAGACCTATCCGTTGGGAGACACCATTGAGGTCATTGAGCATAGTGCTTAGGTTCTGCAGCGATTCTGCCATAAGGACTATATCGTCGACAAATCGAAGGTGAGTGATGTACTCGCCATTGATGTTAATACCGTATCCTTTCCAGTCCAGTAGCTTGAAAACGTCTTTTAATGCAGCGGTGAAGAGTTTCGGGGATATAACGTCACCCTGTCTTAAACCTCTCTGCAGTTGGATAGGTTTCAAACTCTGGTTCTGTACTCGGATAGCCATCCCTACTGTACAAACACTTCAGCACTTCTATATACCGACAGTCAACTTGGCACCGCTGAAAGGACTGTAGCACCACCCAAATTTCGACGGAATCAAAGGCTTTCTCATAATCCACGTACGCAAGGAAAAGTGGCAGTTTGTACTCTTCGGTCTTCTGTACAATCTGCTGCAGGGTATGTATGTGGTCTATGGTACTGAAGCCTTTTCGAAAACCGGCTTGTTCGGGAGGCTGGAAGTCATCGAGTCTGCATGCGAGACGATTCGTAATGACTCTCGAAAACAGAACGTAGACGCGGTTCAGAAGGGAAATCGGTCTGTAGTTCATCAAGAGAGCGTTGTCACCTTTCTTAAAGAACAAGACCACCGCACTTCTGCTCCACGCCTCCGGAGTAGTGCCACCATGGAGGACGGAATTGAAGAGCTTCTGAAGGACTTCAAGTACCGGTGTTCCACCCGCTTTCAGAAGCTCTGCTGTCATTCCATCCTCGCCTGGACCCCTGCCGTTTTTAAGGTGCTGAAGAGCCATTCTAATCTCTAAGACTTGCTCTTGGATCGTTACTCACACTTGCTTGTGGCTCCAACGATGATGTGTACAGCTGCCCATAGAACCTCTCAATCTCACTCAAAATCTCAGGTGTCCCAGAAACGATGCTGCCACACTCAGTCTTCAGCCTTGACAGTTGGCTCTTTCTGGCAGACAGATCTCTGGCAAAGACTTTGGAGCCCTGGTTCCGCTCGATCGCTTCTTTAATACGAGCGGTATTAAAGTTGCGTAAGTCTCGCCGCATGCATTTGGAGATCTGTCTGTTCAGTTGCCTGTATGCTGTCAAATCTGTTAACGATTGCAGCCTCATCTCCCGTCTAACAGCTATAAGATTAAGAGTGTGATCGGAGAGTTTTTGTGTTCTTCTGCGGCGGGTCTTGCAGAACTTAGCTCCGAATCTTAGCTCCTTATGGAAGTTTCCAGGAGCTTGTCATTCATATCGTACACTGCATTGCAATCTTATAGGCACTCGAAGCGGTTACGTAACATAAGCTGAATGGTTTCGGGATTCTGGATTAGAGCATGAGGGGGACGGAGCGTTGACTTCATTAGTCTCGTCTACTTTTGTCCCTCCTTTACGTAGCTGAAATCCCCTCCCGGAGCCCTCCAGTAAGGTACTGAGAGGATTCAGAGAGAGGCAGAACCAGATTGGACTCAGACAATCGCCCTGGAAGATACCCCTACTTATCCTTATGTGGTTCTCCACAGCCATCATCCGCTCGCCCAGATGACAAAGGATCGTACTCCACTGCCTCATACACTGCTCGAGGAAGTCTCTAACTGTACAGTCTATCTTGTACAGCTCGAGGACTCTCTTTGGCCATGTATGGGGCACCGAGTCGAATGCCTTTCTGTAGTCTATCCAGGCGGCGGAGAAGTTCCGACGGTTGCGTTTCACCACTTTGCCAATGACCGCGTCAACGAGGAGTGGTTCCTTGGTTCCACAACCACCACCCCGACATCCATTTTGAGCGAGCGACATCACCTGATTTGAGGCCAGGCGACGAGTGATTCTCGCGCTCAACACACAAACACACAAGACACGTGATGGGGCGGTATTTGCTGGGGTCTGTGGTACCCTGGTCTTTAGGAACCAAATGGGTGATCCCAGTAGTGAAGAGGCTCGGGAGCGACTTCTGGTTGAGATCCTCTTGAAAGTGCAAGCACAGTGTGACACACCACGAACCCCTTCAGCCAGTAGTGATGCAGCCCGTCGAGTCCCGGGTAAGGGCCCTCGTTTTGGTTTACGGGCTCTGACAAGAGGCCGCACCAGAATGCTACAGTGTCGGCCTGATTCGGTGCTGGGCCCGTTCCACTTACCATTGGTCCCTCCAATTATTCATAGAGCCTCTTCTGATCACTCTGGAAGAGACGATTCTGGTTGAACCGTGTCGACCTCTCGGTATATCGCCGAATCCGCTTTCCCCAAGCAGCGATTCTCTGCTTCAGATCATCTATGGGCTCCGTCAGTTTTTGCGTTATATCCGGCTGGGTCAAACTGATATTTGTCCCAGCAAACGCCATCCTGATGGTGCGCACAATTATTGGCCTGTTATTGTCTGATCTGAAGTATATCAGTCTACCGATGAGAGCTCTAGCCTTTCCGACACGTACCTCAATTCTTCTTCTCCATGCTGGGATAGCGCTACTTTGGCCAGTAGCGCGTTCAGCCGTGGAAACCTTGGCGCCTATAGTACGACGTTATTATTATTATTAGCTTAGTTTGCCAGTAAGTCGGGACTATATCTCTCCGTCAATAAAACTTAATTTATGATTTACTGGAGAGGAGCACTTCAAATATTTTAATTTTATGAATAGCCATTGAAATAAGAAAAGAAAAAACGTATGTTATTCTATCAAAATATGATTACAATAATATTTTAGAGGTGTTGAAATCGCAAGTACAAGCCATTTTAGCGACTTTTTGTAAAACATCGGATTTATCAAAAAAAATAAGATCGATAAGTGTATGATTGATGATATGATTATGACGATGATATGATTGATATGATTTATTATATCCTTTAACTTAATGAATTACTTGATATATTTATCTACATTAAAAAACGATTTATATTTAAATACATAGTAAAAATATTAAGTGAAACCTGATGAAGTATTCACGGATTGCGCAATTGATCGCTATTTGTTAGTTACAATCTAGGCTGTTATTTCATAAAAACTTGTATTATAATATGATAAAGAATTTATAAAACTTTATTACTAAAATTGAATAATTATATTCAAATACCACTACGACTATTTTGTATTTAAAGAATACAACATAATTACGATAATGTAAGCTATAGAAAACTATGTTTAGATTCGCGTCATTATGAGTATTTTTAAAAGTCGACTTTATCACATTTTTCATACAGTATTTGCAAAAATATTACTTTAATACAAGAAAACACTAATAAGACATTAATTTGATATATAAAACAAATACAAAAATCAATAAAATTCAATACTCATGGCATATTTTATCACCTCGTTAAATCCACTCAAGCGTCACTTCACTCACTAAACTTTAACTAACAAATTTTCGATATTTTTCGTCCAAGAGGTGGGTAATTTTGATCCAAATCTATAATTTATATATTTGGTTTTGGTTTTACGTAATGGTTACGTAATAGTTAGACTCTGTGCGTATAAAATACGATCTAAATTCAATTAAAAGAACTTCGTCTTTTTGCAACCACAGGTGCAAAGAGCAAAGTTAAGGATACTGTTTTTGCAACTGTGGTTGCAAGAAGCAAATGAGCGGTTAGATGTCAGGCCCCCAATCAGCAGTGATGTGGGGCTACTGTCGAAGGCGCCCTCAATATCTAGAAAGGTACAAAGAGCTATTTCTTTATCCTTCTGTGCTTTTTCGACCCTGTCAATGATACTGATCAGGGCTGTTTCCGTAGATTTGCCTCTGCGGTAAGCATGCTAGTTGCAATGTATGGGCCTCGTAGCTAGAGCTACATCCCTTATATATCTATCTATAACCTTTTTCCAATGTCTTAAGGAGAAAGGAAGATAGGCTTATAGGTCTAAAGGACTTTGGTAAAGCGTAGTCCTTTCTACCAGCCTTAGGTATAAATAGAACCTTGAAAATTGTCCATCGTTCTAGAATATATCCCCATGCAAAACTTGCTCTGAAGATTTTCACCAGATAAGGAAGAAGGATGTCGATACCCCTCTGTAGTTGGATGGGAATTAGTCCATCCTCCCGGCTTGATTCAAATGGCTTAAAGGAGTCAACAGCCCGCTGCACCAGGTTTGGCCTTATTATCTTTGCAGCCCTACACCAGTCCTCATTACAAGGCCTTCGTAGGGCTCTGAAATAATTCAAGGCTGAAGTTTTGTGTGACCCTGGGAAATGGGTTGACGCTGGTAACTCCAATGTTTCTGTTTCACTATTAGTGAAGTTCCCATCCAGCTTTTTAAGAAGCCCGATCTGATTAGGTTTAGCTTTCAATAGCATTTTGTGTAGTCTTGCACTGCGAGGCAAGGACTCAACTTCCTCGCATAGCTTCCGCGATGATGCTCTCTTGGCTTTCCTAATTTCTTTATTATTTTCTGTTGGGGCTGCATTATAAATATCCCACTTTTTGGTTTTCTTAGCCCTATTAAATAGTTTCCTGGTCTTTTCCCTAAGTTCTTTTAACTTTGTATTCCACCAAGGAACTTTTCGTGTTGAGGTCTAGGTTTTGATGGGACAACTGTCCTCGAAGGCTTCACGTAGTACCTACGGTTACTGTATCCGTCGCTAACTCCAGACCTTCAATTGTTTTGATGCTTTTAGGAAACGTTTCTAAATTCCTCCTTAGGCTATCTCTGTAGATATCCCAGGAGATCGCTTTTGGATCCCTAAAAGTAACTGTTTCATAGATTGGTGATGCTCCAATCACAAACTTAATGTGCTCGTGATCGGACATCGAGTTTTCGCTACTAACATGCCAGTCATTTATCCGCCTGGACATGTTATTGGTAGCAAAGTTTATGTCTAACACTTCTTGTCTAGCACGCGTTTCAAAGGTTGGTGTACAACATAAAGTTCAGGCTTACCAGGCGGTTGCAGATGAGAAAATCATAAAGTAACTCACCTCTTTCGTTGATGTTGGTGCTTCCCCAGGCTGTGTGGTAAGCATTAGCATCACAACTCACCACAAGTTCGGCGTTGTGTTTTCGGGCGAACTTCGCCACTCGCTCTAACTTGATGGTAGAATCTGCGTTCTCTCCGGGAATATAGGCTGAGCAAATGATTACTCTGGCCGCTGTGCATCCCTTGAGATTTATGAAGGCTGTAACCAGGCCATAATTGTAGTACTCTGGAACAGCTAAAAGTTCAATATTTTTTTTATAAATTACACAAGTTCTGGTCTACAACAAGACAAGAATCTTACCGGCAGCCGCCAATCCTAGAACTTGACCGTTGGCCACCCAAGGCTCTTGTAGAAGGGCGAGGTCAATGTTGTTCTCTACAAAGCAAACCTCCACCACGGCAGAAGCAACTTCTGCATGGTGAAGATTTGCCTGGAGGACCCTCGTTTTACCCTTGGGTTTAGCCACTTATGGGCATGGGGAGGGGTCTTTTCCGCCTGTTGAGGAAGAGGACGTCCTTTACCTGCGCACTTGACCCCGCTTTAACTTTCGTCAAATCACTCCCACCTCCCCTCCTCCCAGGCCTGAACGACACCAGCGGAGGTCGTTGGACCGAGGCGAAATCTGCACCTTGGGTCTTCGTCACTCTCACCGATGGCGTTACAGCCTCTCCCCGACAGGTAGAGGGCTGGGGAGATTGGAGTTGGTGCGGTTCGGGCTCCATTGCCGCATCAGAGCCTCCCGTGACTTTAAAAGTTATCATCTTAAAGCCAAGGACGACTCTGCCGCATGTCTTTCGAAGAGCTTCTTCTAATGAGTCGTCCAGGTTACTAAGAAAAGGTTACTAAGAACCCATTCTCCTCGTCCCTACGGCGGAGGATTCTCGAGAGCTCAGTATGGAACGCTTCATTTTGTGCCACAACAGCACAGCCGCCCCCTCTGGAGAGTCGGCTTCGCTGCGGGGCAAGTAGGTAGTGCCCAGCTGTTCAGCTGTAGCAGGCTTAAGCAGTTCACTCCTGGCGGAGCCCCACATGCCGAGGAAAGGGCTAAAATACTACGTGAATCACCCTGGTCTCGAGTAGGCACCGTTTGCGACTGGACTCCCTCTAACCATGTATCCATCGGCACGTTACACTTGACACCTTGGATTGGGTTAGGATAGGAAAAGGGGGAAAAGAAAAAGAGGTTTTTCCGAGTGTTTCTGTTTTGTCTGTTTCCTACTGAATCAGACCAAATAACAGGCGGCAACCACTTGAAGGAGAATTCCTCAGACTTGCCTTGGGGATCAACACGACCTGCGCCTCCCCCAGAGCCATACGCCAAACTTCTCGCCAGACAGGAGAGCAGAATAGGTGTTAATCTAGTCCTATTTATAATATCAAAAAGTTTGAAGTAGACTAACCCCCACCCAGTAGTGATAAAACGACGTAATTGCTTGTATGTGTGCTCCCGGCGACGCCTACAGTCGTACAAAATAAGGTTGACAGCTATTCTATTGTGTATTATAGTATTCTATTGTTGATAACAACACGTGTTTGTGCTTGTATATTGGTGCTAACAGGCAAAATAACAGTGAATACGCAAAAACAAATTTCTCTTCGGTATATGTACTGAATTATCATTACACTAATTAGCGGGTATTAGGCGGGGGTAATGATGGAAAACAAATGACTCATAACATAACAATGTCGCAAAACTCTTTGTATATCGCACTGCCGCCGTGTACCTGCCTTCGATGATTCATTTGTTGTTATCGATAATGGCCTTGCGCCCGCGCAACATGCTGAGGGCTGAAACTGAACTATGATTTATGACCCCAACTACACGGACAAAATAATTTTACTATAGGCCTCAGGAGGTCACAAAAACAAAAACAAACACACGTACATAAATACATACAATGAACTAAGTACTGTTTAGTTTGTACATACGTACATGCACAATGTTTATTATGTTTCATGTATTTTGTTTGAGTTTAAAACTTGTGTTGTGTTGACCGTGTAGTGGCGAGACGATATAGGGTAGTTGATATTCTTCCACTAACTACCATAATATCGTTCAGTGAGTGTCGTAAAAGGCGACAGAAGGAAATTAAAACAGGTGATTGGCAGCAGCATTTTTCTGATATAACTCAAAATAAAATAAAAACTGTGGTTGACATCAGATCGCCAAACGTGTTAACTTTTTCAAAATCTTTTCTTAATATAGGATAGGCCTCCCCCATAGATTGTCTAATCTAGGGGGAGGCAATTTATGGGGGAGGCCTATGTTCAGCAGTGGACTTTTATATGCTAACATGGATTAATGCAAAGCCTTATAACGACGAATGTAAATAATGAATGAAAAATTGTAACAACATTCAAAGATTATGTTAAATATAAAAATAATAAAATATAAAAAACATAAACTTATACACTATGATAAACTTGTGGTTTTATTCTCTTTGCACTCTGGTAACACTTGACATTGACAGGGGTAATGCTGGGAACTTGGCCGTCGACGGATTGTTGCTCCTATTTAATCGCTTTAATAATTTTTGAAGTGGATTTTGATTCGTAAAAGTGGTGCTATTTTGTGAATTAAGTGTCTGCGCGTGTAAACTATTAGGGAAAATGACGAAACAAGCTCTTCGATGTTGATATAAACCTCAAGTTATTTTGATCGCATAGGCGCTTTATAAACTTGAGTTACTATCATCATCAACTATCCGCTGAGTTGAGCTGTCGTCAAAATCTCCCAAAAATATTTTAAATAAAAAATCTATAAAAATGAAGAACCCGTAAGAAATTTTTAGGCTCAGAAGGGCTAGAATCCAGAGCCGTAAAGCCAGTTAAATAAAAAAATTGACATTGACATTACGAGTGTAATTGACAGATGACAGCAAGCACGCGTAAACTAAAATGAAGTTAGTTACAAAATACAAGTTTTTATTTTTATCAGGGGCAAAATTGAAGTGAAAAGTTATTTATAAACTAGGTACTTCCTGATTTCTTTCTTTACATAGGTTCACATATTTTGTTCTTGGCTCTGAATTTTTATGTTTTTAATATGGATGATATAGTCTTTATTGGTGATTGGGTAAAAGATAGAATTTTAGGATCAGGAAGTTTCGGCACAGTGGTTCTATGGAAACATAAATATACGGAGGAAAAACTTGCGATCAAGACATGTAAATGGGGTTCGGAGTTAACCGCTAAACACAAAGAAAGATGGACTAAAGAAGTAGAAATGTTACAATGTTGCAATAATCCTAATATAGTGGGAACAAAAAAACTGCCACCTGAATTCATTCTTGGCTTAGAGAAAGCTAATCCATCTAGGTTGCCTATACTTTGTATGGAATACTGCAGTGGCGGAGACTTGCGACAAGTTCTGAATAAACCTGATGCATGTGGAGGTTTGAAGGAAAACCAGGTGCGACAAATACTTAGTGATATAAGAAATGCTATGCAGTTTTTGCATAGTAACAAAATTACTCACAGAGACCTCAAACCTGAAAATATTGTGTTGCACACTCCAGACAGCTTAAATAAGGCTGAAGATACACAAGGTCAGAGAAAAGTGTCATATAAACTTATAGACCTTGGTTATGCTAAAGAAATTGATTCTAACTCCATTTGTGGTAGTTTTGTTGGCACATTGCAATATCTTGCACCTGAGATATTTTATAGTAAAACATACAGCAATTCTGTAGACTTTTGGTCCTTTGGCCTTCTTGCTTTTGAAATTATGTGTGGAATCAGGCCGTTTCTTCCATATTTAGCCCCAGTCCAATGGATGCCCCATGTTAAGAAAAAGTCTCATGAACATATATGTGTGTTTGAAACTTTTTATGAGGATGTAGAATATTCAAGTGAAATTTTTCCTGAAAACCGTATATCTAAACCTTTTAAAATCTTGATGGAAAAATGGCTGCAAGTTGCCTTAGAGTGGGATCCAAAAATGAGAGGAAGAGATGCACCATCTAAAGTCACATTCAATTTACCATCAGAGCAAAAGGAAGTTGCTAGCAAAGTTGTCATATTTGATCTACTTGAATCATTTTTGGCAAAAAAAATTATTAAAGTGTTCTCAGTGACAACCCTATCACATTTGGCATATGAAATAAATGACTCTACATCTGTAGAAATGTTAAAATTATGGATCTACAATGATATCAAAATTCCTGTTCAAGAACAAATTATAATTTCAGTGGCTACGTATATTGTTATTGGCAATGAAGAACAGGTTCTTAAATATTGGAATGAAAATAATACTCCCATGCTATATGTATATGGACAGAAATCAATTGTTGATGATAATATTGAACCTATAGTACCAATAGCTGTTAGAAGGTGTCTTGAACATCCCAAAGCATTGTACAACTATAAGAACAGTCAAAATCTTTACAGAAATGGGTTTTACTTTGTTCTGTGTCAGATGGAAATTTATGATTGTCTCATAAACGGTCTTTTTGCTAGAGCTGAATCATTAAAACATGAAAGCAAACAGCTAATTGTAAAACATAATTCTGTTGATAAGGATTTAGGAAAACTACTGGCCAAAAAAGAAATTATTATGAAAATGACTGATTTAGGAAAGAAACATGTAGAACATTTGAAAGAGAACAGTATCGGTACAAACTTTCTTGGTGGCTTCGAAAAGATATTTAAAGAAGTTGATGATCAAATTGATAAAATAAAGAAGTTACAGTGTGCATGGTCACAGCTATCAATTCGACTTCAATCTGCAGCTAGAAGAAGTAATGAAGCTATCTCGACAGACCTCAATAATTTTGTGACCAAGTATAACTTCCAAACTATCTTTACTAATGCCTTGAAATCTTACAACTCTTTCAAAAGAAGTGATTTTTATGTTGAAAATAAATCTAAAGATATAAAAACTCAATTTTACAATGTTTCAGATATTGTACGGTCATCTTATGACTGTCTTAAACTTAGGAGTAAAATTGTAATGGAAATGCAAAACCAGACTTTCATTCAAAAACTGAAAGATCTCAGTGTTGAGTTGTCTAAAATCAGTGAAATAGTTATTAATGCAATAGAAACTACAGAGAAGCTGTCTAGCTGTTTAGAAACTATGATCGATGAATTAACAAATTGCATGTGGTCTACAGTAAGTCTTGTTATAAGAGATGCCGATCAAATATCTGAGCTCCCCTACAGTGTTGTTTCTTTCCAGAAAAGAGATTTTAAAATCGGAGAGCCAGTATCTAACCATATTACATTACCAAATAAAGTGCAAGATGTGCAACTAAAGTCTCTTATTCAGGAAAGCTTCAAGATAAGAAAATATCAGACAAGACTATGTGAAAAACTGAATTCTCAGCAAATGTCTTTGCAGAAATCAGTTTATGATTTTAGCTTTTTAGATGAATAAAATATAGAGTATTTTATAGGGTATCATAAATCCAAAGATTTAAGAAGTGCCTTATTTTTTATTAGATGATAAGATATATGCATTTTCTATTAAAATTTTATAAGCATTTTTTTTGTATCGTGCAATTATTTCAAAAACTATCTATTTTGTAATTTATTTCTAGTCAATGAAAGTCCAGATTTTATTTTTTATTTATTATAATATGTTTATAATAATGCTATTGGAAATAAAGAAATATAAGACTATTTGTTTTCTTTAATAAATGCTTCTTAATGTAATGTTTGCCTTCCGTCAGTGTAAAGTAAACATAGTTTGACCTTGACCAGTATGACATCATGGGTTTATAAGGAAATGTTAACATGTTAAAAGATATGATTAAAAAATACAACTGCCTGTAAATTGTTCCAACCAATCTTTAAAATGCGTCATATTTTTTTGTAATTTTTGTATACTCGCTGGTGTCTGAAGGTATTCTTCCGGTGCAAATCTAGGTTCAGGGCTTCCGCACACATGCAACCATATTGCTAACAGCGCGTCATCAATGTTAGCTAAAGACCTATGACAGAGTCTGGCCGATGTCATAGAAACGGCAATCAGAGCTCCGATGCTCCCAATAGTTGCCACTTGTGGCCTTTCTTTCCTCGCCGCTAAGAAATAGTTTTTTAAAAGATTTTCAGCAGTCCTGTCTAAAGTAACATTCACACCTGCAGTTAAGTTAATGTATGACATAATGGTTTCTATAGCTCTTACCTCATCCCTACTGATCTTCGTCTCTTCCATTGATCCCTGCAGTAAACATTCAGATATATCTTCAGAATATTCCCCGTAGTCCCCGCGACACACTGTTCCAAATATACTTGACAAGTTATTCATCGTAATTTTCTTTGAATAGTTAGTGTGTGCCCACACCGCACATTGCATTTTCATTTCACTATTCTCCGTAGTAATTTCTCCGCTTTCTAAACTTTTCAATATAAATGATATCTGTTTTTGATTGTATAAGTATAGCGGTAAAGGTAAAACGCATACACCTCCAGAACTAGCAATAAATGATGTTTTAACAGAACTATGAGAATTGCCTAGAAAGACTGATCTATCAGCTAATTTCACGGCTTCCTTCATCAAATCTCCAACATACTTTGTTTCATAACCTGAGATCAAGACATTAATAATTGGTGATCCTAAAACAGAATTCGCTTTTACGCTGACTAAGCTGAGCAATAAACTAATTTTAACATGCATAAAACAGTGCAAAGGGCATACTCTGGCACCTATAGATGAAGCTAGGCAGTATATAAACTTCCATGGCACGCCATCACATACTTCAAACAGCTCCTTTATATCATCAGGAATAGGATATGTTAAAGGTGCAGGTAAATAAGCGGTTTCTTCCACAGACCAAACAGCTTTTATCTTCTTTAAAACTATTACGTGAATATTGTACATACGTCCTGTCTTTAACTTAGGTATTAAATCGTCAGCAACTAAATAGCTTTTGGGCATCAGTTCAAATTCTGATAAAAATGTAGCTTTAACTTGCTCCCCGCATCTTCTCAAACCACTATTTTCAAATAAAATGCTTCTGCAAACATAACATTTAGGAGGCGCTTTTGGTATAAAATGTAAGATAACTTCATTACCTTCACACTCTTCTGGACATGACCATACTGTGTGGAAAACATAAGAACTCGGTATTGAAATATCTAAAAGTAAACCTTTTAAGAATATTACTCCGTTATAATATCGTTGGTTAGCATAAGTAATGTATGGTGGAAAGCATTTTAATCTGATTATTACCGCCACTTGCATCGCATCTATATTTTGTTTATTTTCATATTCTAAAGCTCTAACACAAGAAAATAATATGTCGTTGCAAATGCGTTGAAATTGCAAAGGCTCTTTTATTAAAAAATCCCCCAGGTCGGGAAAAATATTTAGTAAATCCATGACGTCAAGCTCAAGTAATTGTCGTAGTGGTGGAAATCTGTTACTTTGTTTGTCATTATTACATTCAACCAAGAACGAAGCACAATTATTTTTCATTTCATTTAAGAAACCCCTTTTGTCCAGGTAAAGCAACAATTTGTAACACAGTTCCATCTCGCTAACTTTTTTCTTCAATGTAAGTAGGTAGATAAGCTGTGTCTATAATCAATATTTTTCCCTCCAACTTTTTTTTTTAAGTTTCAATTTGCAAAAAATAGGTACAGATAAAATATTATCGTTCTTTTATTTTCATTTTTTTAATTTATCTGAAGTTAACTTAGGTTTATATTTATATTAATTTAAGTTAGTGTTTGATATTAGATTACCTAAGTTTATTTTATTTAAATAAATAAAATAAAAATAAAATAAATATATTAAAATATCAAAAAATTATCAATTAATGCATTAAAATCTACAAAAAAGATTGATATAAATTAATGTACTCAAAAAAAAAACTAAATTTATATTTTCAATTTCCTTTATAAAATGCAAATTACATTGTAAAAATTTATATTGTAAAACTTATTTAGCATGGAATAAAGGGCTTTTTATTTTTTTATTTATTTATTATTTGATTAAGTTAGTTAAGTTACAGCGTATGTATATGTCCCACGACTGGGCACAGGCCTGCTCTAATTTATGAGATGTCCGCCGCGCTGCGCTGCCTCAATGCGTTTTGGCTCAGACTATCAGATAACTACTTGATAATGAATTAAATTTTTTTTTTGTAATGAATTTTATCGCTTGAAAACTACTGTTCATATCTTTATTAAATTTATATCGGAGCACACGAGAAGCACCAGCTTTCAGATAAAAAAAAGAATCATCAAAATCGGTTCACCCAGAGAAAAGTTATAACACACATAAAAAAACATACATTCGAATTGAGTACCTCCTTTTCCTTTTCGAAGTCGGTAAAAAAAAGTAATTTATGTGTTATTTAATTTTCATGCTTAATTTCACATTTCCGAAAACAAAATGCTACGTAATTTGCCATCCTTCACCGTATATCCGAAGGTATGGCTAAGACTAAATAAAAATAAAACAAGAATACTTATAAGATAATAAGGTCATCAAGTATTGAAGGCAAATTATCCGAACTTTAATTTTTAATGCATTTTCAAAACTTTCTTGTAAACTACATAGAAAAAGATAATTATTATAATATGTATAATCTAATAATTTATTTTTAAAAATAAATAATTATAATAATTGTACTGTAATTTAACATGTTAAATGTGATTTACAACTGTCACGTGGGAAAGTATTTGCTGAAATCAGTCCAAGTGTTCATCCATATCGGGCGCAATAATTTAAACTGGTCCCATAACACAGTTGGGTCATACCCATAAAGAGTGGACTCTACATCCTTATTAAGATAACAAGAAATGCGAGTAATAAGTTGGTACGATAATCTCCTGGATTTATTACATAATAGTCACTGCATTTGTATCAGTTTGGTCGCCTACGCGGGGCAGTTAACATGCAAACCCACGCGAGTAGGATCGTATACTGACAAGGTCATGCAATAATTAGCCATCGAATTGATTGGAAAAAATCGTAAAGTTAAAGCAACAATAACAATATACCCCTACATTTCTTTTTTCTTTCTTTATCACCGTTCAAAAGTCCAATTCTGGACACGGAACTCTTCTCTTAGAGGAAGGCTTTGTCATAATATCGCTCTTGGAAGGTGTCCAACCGCAGTATCAGATGTTTTGCAACTTGACGCTGTTCCCTGTCGTCAGTCCGAATATTTCATGCCTGGCTTAAATGAATTATATATATCGAACCATGAGGTCCTTCTCGCATTTCCGATACTCGCCCCTTATGCCATGCACTGGACAAAATGGGGCAATAGGATAATGTATACTTTAATTACGTCATGCATTGCATGACTTCATCACGTAAGCTGTAAAGGCTTATACTAAACACAATATTCATACGTGCTCTGTAAAGTAAATAAGAAAAAATTCGTTGTCATGCCAAAAATAATTGAAATGCCTCGTGCCATGAATACTCACACTATTATAGGTCATACTAGCTCTTCCCCGCTATTTCGTCCGCGTAGAATTGTGGCACAATACGGTTGGACTTCTTGAGTTTTGGTTTTTTTAGTGCGGAACCCTAATTCTTTCTTAAATAAGAGAATCCTAAGTTACATCAGCTATCTGCCGGTGGAAGTCCCGTCAAAATTGGGCTCAGATATTTCGGAGATTAGCCGAAACAAACAAACAGACAAAAATTTTAAAAATTGTTTTCTGCTATTGGTAGCGTATATACTTTCGTATGCATTTAGTAAAAATATGCTATTTTGACATTACAAACGGACACTTCAGTTTTATTTATGTGTGTAGATATCTCAGCAGCGTCAGCTATATCAGAAAGACGGAGGAGATTTTCGTTAAGTAAATTATAATATGGTAAATAGATAAGTTGTGAGGAAGCCGTGGGAGCTCAGGGGCTACGCGCTCGCTGTAAATATATCAATACTACGCGAGCAACTCGAGTTCGAAGCCCGCCGGCACTAATGCAATTGTTAATTACAATTTTAAGTGCTGATCTACCACGTGCTCTACGGCGAAGGAACATATCGTGAGGAAACCTACATATTTTAGAAGTTAAAAGAAAATACTTTAAAGACATGTAAAGTCCAACATCATTGGGCGCGGCGAACTTTTCCTAGTCCTAAAACCTTAGCAGAAATGAGAGGAAATCTGTGCCCAAGAGTGGGACGTAGTAGGCTGTAACTAAACAGGTAATAATAAATTATATATAATTTAGACAATGATTGTTTTCTACCAAGAACATATATGTGAAAATAGAACCAAGTTTAGTTCAAATGACGTTCGTGGTTGTCGGTTTCGCCGATAAAATACTCGTAGTTTAGATCTGAACGGGCATTAAGCTCCACAACAGTTGAGGAATATAGAGCGACGCTGTAGCTTTGTTATGGTTGTAGCATGAATGGGTCGGCTTGACCGGGGTAGGACACAGAATACAGCCTAATGCGTGTGTTGTGTGTGTTATACACGTACATAAGTGTAAAGAACTAGAAACTCTTCTTACTGGAAACGAGGCATTCCATCTTTGTCCTCGGGGATGACATTTTGATCCTTAATCGAGGATAAATCTAGAAATCTATGGGCCACAGCATCCACTTACCATCAGGTGTGTGCTCGTTTGTCACCCTTATTCTATAAAAAGAATGTACAATATTCTTAGAACTGCCATGAAATGTGGGAAATCGTAAGCGTGGAGGTCTAATCTTTTTTTACTTCCCGCTATGAAAATCAATGATTTTCAAAAAATGTGGTAGTTATTGTTTTCATCCCGGTTTTTGAAAATCAAGTTCTCATCAGATCTCGATGTTTCGAAGTCTTCGGCATCTGAAAGAGACTTGCTGAACTTAGACTTTCTGTGATTTTAGGCCGAATCATCAAGGTTGACTCTGAGAAAGAGTATGTATTTATAATTTTCAGAAAGTAGTTTTCTTGAATTTACGACACCCTTGTTTTGATAAATTCTATTATCTAGTAAGCTCTTCTACTCAAAAAACGACAATTTCAATTTCCGTGAACCGCATCAAAATCACCCACACCACACGGTTGATTCGTTCGAGAGATATGGTCTATGGATATGGTTGACGAAAGAAATCTCGAAACAGTGTTTTTTAAAATAACTTCAAAACTTTAAGTGTGTGGCGTCGCTGTCGTCGCGCCACAAATGAAATCAATTTTTTTGTAATAAGCTTTTTTGTTAAGCTGAAAAAATTGCGTTGCGATTGCTGTAAATCACATCAAAATCGGTTGATTTTGACAAAAATAAAACGTGGTTTTCCAAAATTGGTCTTCGAGCTCAAAAACGTTATAATAAGAGGAAATTGGAGCGCCTTTATATTGAAATTATCTTGAAGTTCCAGTGATGGCCTGCAGGGTCAAAATATTTTTTGTGTTATGCGGTTTGAAAGTAGCTCGAAATTGTTCGTGTAACACGTGTAACACAGAACCAGTGCGTCGTCCTTTTCTTTGCTTGGCTCCTTGGCTTTTCGCTTGCTGAAAAACCGATTAACATAATAAATAAATCACGTGTTAAAATTTTAAACAACACACATTGATCATTGGGCTATGACGATGCTAATGAGAATACTAGGTCACCGTATAACGTACCTAAGGTCATACTAATGCAAAATCATCGACTCTTCTTACTGCAAAATTTCTAATTATTCAGTCTAGAAGTGGGTAAAAACTGAATTTTTATCCACTTCTAGACAGAAACTAAAATTTCATTACGTTCATGCATAATGAAGGTATATGTGATACATAAATACGTATATATACAGGTGATGTTAATATAAAACAACTAAAAAGTTAATGTACAACGCAACGAAAGGAAGCCTTAGATTGGAACCTGAATAATGTTAGTATTTTTAGATCAGTGTCCTAAAATCGGTGCTTTACCGGACCCAGAAATGGAACCGAAAAAGTGTATCATTTAAAAAAACTTAATAAAGAACTGTAAAGAAATTTAGAACCGATTTTCAATATTTGCTATCGACAGCTGTGTAGGGCTCGAATCTCGCACGTAACAAGCCTTTAATTAATTGCTGTGGGTCTGAATGTTTTGTTCTCGCGCAATTCATAGATGTAAAACATCTCGACGATACAGGCAAAATCCTACTGTAGGAGTAATCATAGAATACTATAATACGCAATAGAATGGCTGTCAACTTTATTATATACGAGGATTGGCGTCACCACACCCGATTCGCTGTGTTGACAGACTGAGTAAATTTACACATTTTAGACTTTTGATTAATGTTC